GAAGTCCCTTCCTCCTTGGTGGAGCAGGGCTTGGTGAGGGGGGGGGGGTGGGGTGGGAGAGAGTGCAGGTGAAGACATCTCACTAAATAGGGGCTGGGACGGAGGTGGGGTGCCAGGGGTCACCTGAATCTATTTTTTGAGGCTCTGGGAAAATTAAAGTATAAAGAATTGCTTAATTAGGGGTACAAAAATCATGATATATTAAGTTTAATGGATTAATCTGGTGTGGTAAATTAAATATGAAATATTTAAATTGTGTTAATACTTAATAAATCATTTAAATTAAACCATTTATTTACAATTATTTATCAAATTAATAAATTATTATTTAAGTATTCTTTAAGTTAAATTACTATTAAATATCAAACTTAATGAATTGGGTGTGGACCTCAGGTGTAGAAAATGGAGCCAATCATATTGCTCTATTTATATCACTCCCACTAACAGACTGTACCAGATCTCTCTCTTGTTTTATTTTACTTCATTTGGTTTATCTCTTTCATCCCTGATCCCCACAGCCCATCCTCCTCCTTTCCTTTACCAACTGACACATATATCCTTGAAAATGTACATTTCATTGAAAAAGGTAGTGTTGATTTGTGTACGTTTTAAGTAACACCTTAGATTGTGCTACAGAGCTCATCGTGTTTGTTCCTTTTACTCAGCGTTATGTTTTTGGGATCTGGCCTTGTTGCGTTCTGTGCAGTGCGCCAGTCATGAGTGCCTTTGGTTGTAAGTAACCAAAAGCTGACCTCAGTGGTGTGGTGGCTGCCACATTCTGGCAGTTCAACATCCATCCAAAACTACAGAAGCTGGAAAGCTAAAATGACACCTCCCAGGTTCTTGTGAGCTAGGAATCTGTGATTTAGGTTCTACTCTTGCGTGAGGCACAAATTTGGGATAGAACTAAGTAGCATGGGACATCCGTTTTGCTGTCACAGGTCATGACAGATGCAGGAGGGTCCTGGTGAGCAGCTTCCTGATTCATCAGCTTCCTGTAGTAGTGACTGTTGTTTTCCCCATCATAGGCAGAGGTCACATGCCTCCCAAAGCTGGGAGTTGTTCCAGGACCTAGAGCCTGCTCCTCCATTTAAACTAGCCAGATTTATTTCTGTTGTCTGCAGGTGAACCCTAACTGACACATGTGGCTTAAACAAATAGAGGTTTATTCTTCATACGGGATAAAAAGTTCAGGCGTAAGAAGCTGTTCGTGTTGATTTAGTAACTTTATGTTGTAAGGGCCTTCTCTAGGAGTCTCTTGACTTTTCCTCATGGTCACAAGATGGCTGCTGTACCTGTAGCCATCACAGTAAAATGTGGTGAATGCACACTGTGGACTCTATGCAGCAGTTAGAAGAAATCTACCAGCTTATGTGTCAGAAATCACTGATGAGATGATAGAATCCCTATCCATAACCTCCCTTCTCTCTAGTCACCTCTCATTATAGTTTGGTGTGACCAGGTGACACAATTTTGGCCGATGAAATGCAAGCAGCAGTCTGATGGGTGAGGCTCCCGAAAAAAATCTTTGCTCTCTTGATAAAATATGTGAGGTGTACCTTTTAACCTCTTTCTTTCTTCCCTCTTATTCCTGCTGAATAGAATTCCATAGTGTGCATCCATCACATTTTACTTATTTACTCTTCCAGTGATGAACACCCATGTTGCCTCCAACTTCATGCCACTGCAAGTAATGCTGCAGTGAGCATCCTTGTACATATCTAGTTGTAGACCTGAAAGAGAGCATCTCTGAGACTGCTAGGTCATAGGGAACATACATACTTATTGACCAGGTACTGTCGGATTGCTCCCTATTTTGCAGTGCACCCACCAACAGTGCATAAAAGTCTCCCAAATCATTACAAACCCTTGTACTTTTTCGGCCTTCTAATGTTTGTCAATCTGATGGTACAGAACTATAAGGGGATATTGCTATGTTACATTGGATTTTTCTGGTTATCAACAAGGTGAGCATCTCCCCACATACCTGATAGTCATTCTTGTTTCCCCTTCTGTGAATCACCTGTTCATAGCCTGGGTCCAATGTTCTATTAGAATTTCCTGTCTTTTTCTTATTGAGTTTTCAGGAATTCCTTTTAATATTCTAGATAATAAACCCATTGTCAGATGGGTTTTAAATGTGGCAACTGTAATGTAAACCTTTCTGTTAGCTTTATCTGTGGTGAACTTCATCGAAAGAAATCCTGAATTTTGATGTGGTTAAATTCATAAAAAATCTCCTTATACTTTGTGCTTTTGGGTCTTGCTTAAGAAGAATTTCCCACTCCAAGATCACAAGGATCTTCATCTCTCATTACTCTTGCAGTTTTATTTTTAATATTTAGTTTTTAATCCATCTGGAATTTACTTTTATATATGGTGTGAGGAAGAGAGCTGTTATGAACTGAATTGTGTCCCCCTAAAATTCATATGTGGAAGGCTTAACCCCCAATGTGGCTGTATTTGGAGACAGTGATATTATGGAGGTACTTAAGACTAAGTGAGTTCATAGGGGGCCCTAATCCAATAGGACTGCTGTCCTTTTAGAAAAGGGAGAGACACCAGAGCACGCTCTCTTTCTCTTTTTCTCTCCTCCCTTCCCCCACCCCTGTGTGAGCACAGTGGAAAGACCATGTGAGGATACAGTGAGAAGAGGCCATCTACAAGCCAAGGAGAGAGCTCTCACCAGAAACCAACCCTGCTGGCATCTTGATCTTGGACTTCCAGCCTCCAGAACAGTGAGAAAATAGATTTCTATGGTTGAAGCTTCCCAGTCTGTGGTATTTTGTTATGGCAGCTCAAACAGACTAATACAAGATCCAGTCTTTTCTCCAACTAGTGAAATAACCCCATCTATTAGACAATTCTCTTCCCCCTGATTTGTAGCATCATCTTTATCATGTATAAACTTCAAGTTTTCTTTAATGTTTTATGTTGTGTTTGAGTTCTTATATCATTTTACTAGACTGTTCCAGTGCTGATGCAACACTGACTTTATTACTCCAGCTTTGTAGTATGTCTGACTACCTGATAGGGTGAGTTCTCCATATTTCATTTTCTTTTTCAAAATTGATTTTTATTCTTTCATAAAAAATGGCAGGACTTCCCTGGTGGTGCAGTGGTTAAGAATCCGCCTGCCAATGCGGGGGACACAGGTTCAAGCCCTGGTCTGGGAAGATCCCACATGCCATGGAGCAACTAAGCCCATGTGCCAAAACTATTGAGCCCACGAGCCACAACTACTGAGCCCCCGTGCCACAACCACTGAAGCCTGCACGCCTAGAGCTGGTGCTCCACAACAAGAGAAGCCACCGCAATGAGAAGCCTGTGCACCACCACAGAGAATAGCCCCTGCTCGCCGCAACTAGAGAAAGCCTGCGCGCAGCAACAAAGACCCAACACAGCCAAAAAAAAAAAAAATTGCAAATAAGTTTGTTGAATTCTTTAGAAAAAATTTGCTGGCATTTTGATAGGAATTGCATTGAATTTATAGATTAATTTGGAGAAAGTTGACTGCCTCACAATGTTAAATTTTCTCCTCCACAAACACGGTATTTATCCATTTTCCAGGTTTTCCTTTATGTTCTTCAATAGTGTTAAATTTTCTCCAGCAAGGTCTTATACATTCATTGTTAGGTTGATTCCTAGATTCTTTATAGTTTTTCTTGCTATTGTAATTAAAGTCTCATGTTTTTGTTTTGCTTATTGTTGATGTAGATTTAATTTTTTCTTTCTCTTTCTTAGACCTCATATATGCTGAATCAGATTAATCACAATCCCCAGTTCTCATTATTGGTGCCTGTATAGTCTGCTTTTATTTAGCTTATTAATTAGTTAATTATTTTTAACAAGGCAATATATACCCGGAATACCACCTCCAAACGAAAGCTTGAACTTGACAATACACTACGTGATTTTCCCAATGTATCCCCTGCCTCTCCCCACCCAAGGCAGCTATAATCCTGAATTTCATGCCTTTTGTTTTGTTCCTTTATATATTGTTTTATTGCATCTTTAGGTATTCCTTCAAGGTATATATATTATGTATATTACACATATATAATTCTAGTATTTTAAAGGATGTAAATGCTGTATGTAGCCTTTTGCTGTCTACTTTTATCACTAAATAACATATTGCTAAGATTCATTCATATTGTCGTGTGGTGCTACAGTCCGGTCATCTTTGTTGCTATGTGTATATTCACTCCATTGTGTGAATATACCACAGTTATCATGCTGCTTTATTGATGGATATTTGGGGTGTTTCCAAGTTTCTGCCACTATAAATTGTGCAGCTATGAACACTCTTCTTTTTTTTTTTTTTTGATCCAGCAGGGAGGTATGCAAGATCTTAGTTACCTGACTAGGGATCGAACCCACGCCCCCCTGTAGTGGAAGCACGGAGTCTTAACCACTGGACCGCCAGGGAAGTCCCAAACACTCTTCTTTTTTTAATGAGAAATTTCCATTTTAATATAAAGGTGGTCCTGTGCCTGATAACTTCAGTTAGGGACTCACACAGAACAGACTGGGTACCAGCATTTAGTAAAATTCAGTTGAAGATTATAGTGCATTTTAAATATAAAAATAAGACTTTTAGTTTAAAAAGAGTACATAGCCCTGGATACATCCATAAAACAATGGAAAATTATAAAGCAGGGCTACATCTAGTTATGGGTCCATAAGCCACAGGATTCTCAAACCTCACAGGATGTTTGATACTGAACTTTCTTAAACTTTTAAATAATGCAATTGATCTTCTCAGGCAAGATGCATTTGAAAGGAGGCCTAGTGAGCAATAACATTTAGAGGCTCTTCTGAAGTGACGGGAATCCTCCTGGCTCTGGCGCAGAGGCCCATGGGAGTACCTGGCGGAGAGGACAAACCGGGCTGCTATTTGAACAGGTGGGCACCCACATCCGTCCATGAGAGATTTACATTTGCTGGCACACGAGGGTTCCAAACCACAATTGGAATCTTCCTTTTTCAACTTGCATCTTCTAACAATTCTCTGTATGGTTAAAATGTCCAGATTCCCCCGCAGTGCATCTGGAGCAAGGCTGAGCCGAGGAATCCCCACACTTGGTCTCCCCTGGCCACTGTGTGTCCTTCGTGCTCCTCCCGGCTCCAGGATTCCAGGGTGCTCGCCTTCACCTGGAGGCAGCCCTGCTCCTGTGCAGCTGCCTCCAATCTCCTGCAGGCCATTTTCCAGTTCCCCGGAATCTGCAGCTCCTCTGGCCTCTGCCGTCGCCACCGGACCAGGGCCAGAGTGTCCACGCTGCCCCAGGCCTGAGTCCGCCCAGCCTCTCATCAAACGCTCTTGCATGATTGTGTATGCAAGAGTATTCTAGGAGTGGAATTGCTGAGTCAAAAATCATCTAATTATACGATTTTAGGAGATAATGCAAACTTGTTTTCCAAATTGTTTGTACCATTTATAACTGAACCCAGTAAATGTAAAAGACCCTGTGAGGCTTCTTCCACTCTTGTGTTGTCAGCCTTCTAATTTTTGCCAGTTAGAAGGATGTGAAGTGGTATCTCATTATGGTCTTGATTTGCATTTCCCTAATAACTAATATTGTTGCACATCTCTTCATGTGTTTGTGGACTGTATGTAATAGAATGCTCTCGCTGGACACAGGCTACCCAACTAGAGGGTACGTTTTCTAGCCATCCTTGCATTGAGTATGACTATGTGATTAAGCTTTGGCCTAAATTGACTCTTTGTAAGTGGAGATGGTATGCTCAGTTTCTAGAAGTATCTTTAATGCGATGGGAGTGTGTTCTTCTCGTCTTCACCATCTTGCCTTCTGGCTGCAGAAGTTATAGCTGGCGCTAAAGCAATCATCTAGGACCATGAGGCAGAAGCCATATGTTAAAGATGAAGGAACTACAGAGAAGTATCTGGTTTATTTGTCTATACCTGGGCCCAAATCACACTGTCCTAATTACTGAAGCTTTAAAATGAATCACGGTGTCTGCCAAAGCAAGTATTCCCACTTCCTTTTTCTCCTTTAACAATGTCTTGACTACTCTTGGTCCTTTGAACTATTGGTATTTTGAATGTTTGTCAAATGTGACAGACTGAAGACGGCCACAAATCCTTTGACACTTCTCCTACTGAGAGGTGTTCTATTTACCTTTCCCTTGAACCTGGCTGGTCCTCATGGCAGAAGTGATGCTGTGTGACATCTGAAGCTGGATCAGAAGAAACCTTTCAGCTTCCCCCTTGGAAGTCACTCTCCAGACACTCTCTCAAGTTATTCCCTCTCAGGATGCAGCCACCATGCTATGAGAAGTCCAGCTTGTAGGTGCCATAGTTGACAGCCCCAGCTGAGTTTCCAGCCTCCAGCCGGCATCAACAGCATCATGGGAGTGAGCCACCTTAGGCATCCAGCCTAGTTGAGCCTTCAGGTGACTCCAGCTTTGCAATGAACACCTGTCTGCGACCATATAAGAGACTCTTCTATTTAATCTGTAGATCAATTTAAAGAAAACTGATACCTCTGTAATATTGAATCTTCTAATCCTTAAACATGGTCTATCTTCTGTTTATTTAGATTTCTTTAATGTCTTCAATATTTTATAGTTTTCTCCCTAAAGGTCTGTGCTAGAGACTTATTGTGCCCACCCGTATTCAATTCTTCTATCTCTTCCAGACATATGGAGGATTATACTTCCCCAGCTCTCTTGCAACTAAGCGAAGTTGTGTGGTTAATTTGTCTAATAGGTTGTGAGTGGAATCGACAATGTCCCTTTTGGGCCTGTGCATTCACTTGCTAATGTAAGACCCTCCAGCAGCTTTTTTCCTGCCTTGGTGATGGCAGAGGATGCCTCATGGCAAGATGGTGGAGCCACAGGATCAAAGCAACCTGAATTACCGAATTGCTACCTGGATAATCATCCAGACATATGGCAGATTTTGAGTGAATGAGAGTGAGAAATCAACTTTTTGTGTGTGTTAAAGTACTGATATGTGGTTGACTAATAGAACATTTTATATTGTACATGTTTTGATAGATTTTTTCCTACATACATTCTGATGGTAGGTAAATAGTATCCTTTTATTAATTTTATTAACATTTTCTAACTGCTTATTCCTATATTCTATATTTCTATATATATTTTTACATTCTATTTTATGTTTTATTCGAATAGAATATATTCTGCGTATTAATTTTATATGCAACAAGCTTTCTAAACTTTCTTATTGATTTTAATAATTTATCTATAAATGCTTTTGGATTTTTGCACCCATATTCATGGATGAAATTGGCCTCTAATTCTCACTTTTTACCACCCTTGTCAGGTTTTGATACCATAAAATAATAATTCATAAAATAGGCTCATATAGTAAGTTGAGAAGTATTCTCTCATTCTCTCTTTTCTGTGAGTCTGTGAGGGGATCATGATTATTTGTTCCTTAATATTTGTTACTCTTCCCAGTGAAATCAACCAGGCTGTAGTTTTCTTTCTTCTTTTTTTTAATTTTTTAAATTTTTTTTGCGGTATGCGGGCCTCTCACTGTTGTGGCCTCTCCTGCTGCGGAGCATAGGCTCCGGACGCGCAGGCTCAGCAGCCATGGCTCACGGGCCCAGCCGCTCCGCGGCATGTGGGATCTTCCCGGACCGGGGCACGAACCCGTGTCCCCTGCATCGGCAGGTGGACTCTCAACCACTGCGCCACCAGGGAAGCCCTGGACTCCTAGCTTTTTACAGAAATCTTCTATGAAATTCCTCACCTTGATTCTGTCAGATATAAAGGCTATGGAAATTGAAGCTCAAGTTTGCCTAATTCAACAGCTGTCCTCAAGCTAAAGTATATTCTTTGCTCTGTTTCCCTGAGTTTCTGCCTTCCCTTAGATTTTAACCTAATAAATTCTTGCTATCTGGCCAACTCTTCAATGCTTTTAAAATAATTTGTATTTTAACTTGCATTTTTACTGTTTTACTCCGAAAGATTAGTCCAGAGTCCAGCCAGTCATATTATTGGAAATAAAATTTCCTCTAATCATAATTAAAAATCAACCTAATAGGAAAATGGACAAAAGGCATGGTAATTAATTCATAGAAGAAATACAAACGGCCAAAATAAATATATGAAAAGATACTTCATCTCACAAGTAAGCAGGAAAAGGCAAATTAAAACAGTAATGGGGACTTCCCTGGTGGCACAGTGGTTAAGAATCCGCCTGCCAATGCAGGGGACACGGGTTCGAGCCCTGGTCTGGGAAGATCCCACACGCCGCAGAGCAACTAAGCCTGTGCGCCACAACTACTGAGCCTGCGCTCTACAGCCCGTGAGCCACAACTTCTGAGCCCATGTGCCACAACTACTGAAGCTTGCACGCCTAGAACCCGTGCTCTGCAGCAAGAGAAGACACCGCAATGAGAAGCCCACGCACGGCAACGAAGAGTAGCCCCCGCTCGCCACAACTAGAGAAAGCCCACGCGCAGCAACGAAGACCCAACGCAGCCAAAAATAAATAAATATATTTTAAAAAAATAATGAAATATCAATATTACTCTGGACCATCAGCTTAACAAAAATTAAACACTAGTAATATTAAATGCTTACACTGTTGGAAGAATGTAAATTAGTAAGTATTTTTGGAAAGCATTTTGACAGTGTCTATCAAAATAACAAATGTACATACACATTAATCCAGAAATTCTGATTTTAGAAATCTTTCCCAAAACAGCACTTGCATATGTGAACAAAGATATACTGTGTATAACTTTGCAGTGTTATTTGTATTAGTAAAAAAAATTAGAAACCACTTAAATGTTCATCAGTAGAGGAAGGGCTTGGGAAAATATGCACGTGTAGATTTTGCCTTCATTAAAAAAAAAAAAAAGATAGGGGAATTCCCTGGCAGTCCAGTGGTTAGGGCTCCACACTTCCACTGCAGGGGGCACGGGTTCGATCCCTGGTCGGGGAACTAAGATCCCACATACCGTGCAGCATGGCCAAAAAAAAGGATAGATCCATATGGATTGCTCTGAAAATATCTCTGAGAAATGTTAATTGAGAAGAAAAACTCAATGTAATATATATATATCATGTGTGTGTGTGTGTGTGCACCCGTGCAGTTGGCTGCTTACATATATGTAAGTAATGCATAGAAAGGCCTGAAACAGTAGTTCTCAACACTGGCTGCACAGTGTAATCACTTGAGGATTTTTAAAAATAGTGATGCCTGGGGACTTCCCTGGCGGTCCAGTGGGTAAGACTCCACGCTCCCAATACAGGGGGCCTGGGTTCAATCCCTGGTCGGGGAACTAGGTCCCACATGCATGCCGCAACTAAAGATCCAAGTGCTGCAACTAAGACCGGGCACAGCCCAAATAAATAAATAAATATTAAAAAAAAAAATAGTGATGCCTGGGACGCACCCCAGAGATTCTGAGGTAATTGGTCTGGGGCACAACTTGAGCAAGGGGATTTTAAAAATCTCCTCATGTGATTCTAGTGTGCAGCCAAAGTTGAGGACTACTATAAAGAATGAAGCTCATTAAAATGTTGGCAGTGGGGACTTCCCTGGTGACACAGTGGTTATGACTCAGTGCTCCCAATGCAGGGGGCCCTGGTTTGATCCCTAGTCAGGGAACTAAATCCCACGTGCATGCTGCAACTAAGAGTTTGCATGCCACAACTAAGGAGCCCTGGAGCGACAACTAAGGAGCCTGCGAGGCACAACTAAGGAGCCCACCTGCCACAACTAAGACCCGGTGCAACCAAATAAATATATTTTTTAAAATGTTGGCATTGATTCACTTAAGGAGGGGGATAGGAATGAGATGAAAGGGGACCTTCATATTTTGCTTTTTAATGTTTGAATCTTCCACCAGGATAATTACTACTTGATAACAAAAGGGGAAAAGAAAAGAATCAGAAAGATTTCCCTATTTCCTCCTCTTCCTCCACAACCTCTGCTGTACAGAGTTCATCATTGCTCAGTGCTATCTCAGAAATTCATTCATTCACTCAATAACTATTAATTGAAACCTAGTTTGTGTCAGGCATATATTTTGGCTCTGGTGCTTTTCACACTAGTTATCGTTAATCTCATACTTGGCTATTTCCCTCACCTTGGTCCCTCTGTCTCCTGCATCTAGCACAGGGTCCGCCACTCAGGAAATGTGAATTTCCTGAGGCTCTCCTCCGGCCTGAAGAACCCCTCAGCACCATTCAGGAGTGACTGTACTAAAAAGATAGGAGCCTTTAACTTGTGCTGAGAGGCCCCAGGAACATCTAGCTAGGTAAAGGGGATTTCACATTTTGCTTTGCAAATTCTCTTCCCGCAAGCCTTGAGAAGCTCCTGCCAGTTCAGTACACACCACCCCCCAGCCTCCGCAAGGGTCCTGTTTCTGAAAGGCCACTCTCAGCCAGCAGGTGGCAGCCCTGTGCAGGGATTGGGAGAGCATCCCCACCCAACAGAGTGGAGGCTATAGCAGAGGGTTCTGGGGGCAGGTGCAGGGTCTTGGCAGGACTAGTGCACAGGGGTAGAGTGGTGGAGTTCGATTTGTGGCGCAAACCACAAAGGACAGGAGAATTATTTTTGTAGGTCATCATTCGTCGCTTGTCCGGGCACCCAGAAGTTTCATGAGTTTTCTTTTACATTCCATCTGCAGCGATGCCCATTTGGAGGTGCCCCGTCCAGGCCTCGGGAGACCTCTGTGTCCCTCCCCCACCCCTGCTCAGTTCCTCAGCCTGGGTCTTGACCCTTCCTGTGTATGTCTTTGCTGATAGAGATGATTGCGGCAGTGGGGGAGTGGGGGTTCCTGGTTAATGTGTCAAATAATGGATAACACCCTGGGTCATACAGGTAACTTTCTGTGAGGTACATTTCCTTCTG